TAACTCTTATAGGCGAAGTCCCAATGGTTCACCGACTCGGTTATAGCCCCGGATGTTAGCTTTTCGTCCTCCCACTTCAGTCGAAAACACCCCACCACGGGAAGATAGCGAATAAAGCTTCAGCAGCGGAGGCTGTTTCAGACGCTTGGTCGTATAGGAACATTTCGCGAAGTGCAAGAGAAGGCTGATCAATCACAGCCCAATACACCCACCTCCGACCATACTGAGGCTTCCGGAGACCTTGTAATTATGAGATTCATCTTCGTTGTGTTTCCCTTTCCAGGTTGTATACATGTGGGAGTTTGTCAGTCCGTAACTTGCTGGGACTTGGCTGCGCTAACATTCTTTTCGTGACTTATACGACATCTATTCCATCTGTCTCACGCGGCGAGCCCTATTGGGAATACTCTTTCAGTACTTTTAGTCTTCAAGTTGATTGTATCGTTTATGGAGAGTTGGTTATAACAGACAAATTTTGCATTGATTCTCGTAAGGATTGTCGGTTGAGATCCTTGTGAACGTTGCTTTGACGGGTTGGTAAAGACCAAACCAGCAAGCTAAATGAAATTAGTACACCCTTGACGAATAATTGCTAAAATTTGTTCCTCTTGTTAATCTGTAGCAAGTGAGACCGGAGTGGTGATGGGATGATCCATTAGTTTGGATGGCATCCACTAGCGTACAGTAATCCACAGGTTATGATATTCACATGCTATCACTGTCACGGGGCTTAACACCACATCTATATCACATTGTTGGAGTTTTACATGGCTTTTTATTCCAATCGACCGGTCCCCAATGCTGAACCTTGAGTAATTGCTTCTCGCCTACTGCCCATTGCAATAACAGGTGCATTAAAAAGGTACCCATTGAGCAACAATGGCGAAGCGGTATCCCACCAAAATTTGGTGACGGATGTCCTTGTCTAACCATGTCATCGTAACCAGTGTTCCTCCTAAAGTCTTGAGTGGCACCATTGGCTCGCACATATTTCTTTCAGTACAGATGTCTTCGCGATGATATTTCAGGGTGGTTAAAAACAATGTGTGTGAACGTTCTAGTCATGGAAAGTGTCGACGGCAAACTTAAGATTAGGAGTGGAATTTAAAAAGGCTTTCTTCAGGATCGGTTCACGTCAATTTGTTTTCCAAAAGTATACTAAACCGTCATATGAAATCCGCCGCATCCGCGCGAATGCTGTTTTCACCAAAAGTAGGCTGCACAACTCCTGTTGGTGAGCTTCAATTCCCACACTCCCAGAATCGAATGAAGATTGATAGTATCCCATTACTTTTTTCCGAAGTTCTCTTTTCGCATTCGAATGATTGCGTCATACGTGATGATAAGTAGGTTCCCTTAATGACTCTAATACCCGCTGCTTACCCATAACCTGAAACTAGATAAACACAGTCGGCGGTTCAGCAATTTTTCCATCCTCCAGTGCTGCACATTGGTCGAAAATGTGAATAGTTAATCTCCGGTCGTAGTGTGAAAATTCAGGTTTTCGGCGTACTGCCGTACCTGGGAAGTTGAGTTGAAGTCAAATTCATCTCTCTTTCTCTGTCTCTATCTGTATTTGCTACCAAATCCAGTCTGTANCTCTATCTGTATTTGATACCAAATCCAGTCTGTAGATCAACCAGATCGTGCTACAATAGTCTGTTGACCAAGAAAATCAGTCCATGATTTGTTCGTGAGAGGAATGCGGTGGCCTATGCGAAAGTAGGTCATTTTATTGGGGATTTCAAGACAGCCAAAGCTTTCAGTGTTGGTTTTTGCTCAATATAGAAGAAGAGCATACAAAGGTATTTTGTATTCCGCAAACTGAAATAAACACGGAAGTTGATTTTTGGCTTGTTATTTTCGACATTCGAATCCAACAACTGGTGACCGACTTATTCCTGTACCGTAGCTGCTATCCTTCGACAGCCAACCCCTTATTTGTCGTATGGTGAAAAATGAGTGCACTAAAATGGTTGAATAACGTGCTGTCAAACTTGAACAAGTCGTTTTGCAAAAGTTGAAATTAAGTGTCAGCCACGCGGTCAGCATTGCGATCTTTCACTGTTCTTTCTTTTTTTTACTCACATATTT